GGAGGAGGCGGGGCCCGAGTAAGCGGGGCTTATCGATGGGGGAGGTGGGGCCCGACAATTGAGGAGGCAAGCCCCACCTCCTCCATCAAAGGGGGCCCACCTCCTCGATCGTTGGGCCCCGCCTCCCCCATCACTGCGATGATGGAGGAGGCGGGGCCCGCAAGCGATCGTGGAGGAGAAGGGGGCGGACAGAGGATCAGAGCAGACAGGTACGATGACCCTGAGACCCTGCAGAGCCCACCATAGAGAGTCTATGGTGGGCTCTGCAGGTTCACCCTCAGGTGGGCGGTGTGGGATCTCAGGTGGGCTTAACTAGAAATCACAGGGCCCCCCATACAAAATGTTGCTACGGGGCCCTGTGATTTCTAGTGACGCCCCTGGTTGTAGTGCCATACATTGTGAATGGCACCCCAATTCATTGTACAGTACAGCCCAACACACAACACATTGCAGCACGCCACAATACATACACTGTGCGTTGTGGTGTGCCACAGTGCTAAAAAAAAAGGCAATGCACCTTTTTTAAAATCTATTGTGGTGTATTAGCAGCCGGTTCATAATACTGTAAATGGGCCGCCAGAATGCAACGCACATTAACGCACCGCAGCAGAACTTTGATTGGGCCCGGAATGAATGACGATGATCATTATTAAAAAGACACTATGGGGTCATTATAGTATGTACCTGTGGAACATTGAACAGAATACCTTCGAGCCTTGGTTCTCAACTGGTGGGCCGTGACCCAAAAGTGGGTCATAACCCCGTGTTCAGTGGGTCACCGCATGCCTTCCACTTTTCTAGGTGAGAGGCTCCTCCCCCTAGCGCAGCACTGTCAGTTCTCTTGCCAAGCAGCCATTCAAAATATGCTGCCCGGCGCCGAGTGTCAGCTTGAGGTGGGGTAGGATGGGGGTATGGCCACGAGGGAGCTCCACCCATACATGCATTGCTTACAGCTCCCTCGCATGTCCTGTAGAGGTGCCTGTACCGGAGTGACGTCACATTCTGGCCCCCGGCACCTCTACAGGGCGCGAGGGAGCTGTGCAAGCAATGCATGCATGCATGCATGCATGTATGGATGGAGCTCTGTCACATCACCGCAGCCCACCCTGGACCCCAGTCAGAGGATCCACTCCAGTTCTGGTAAGGTAGGGAGACTGGGTGGACCTTAAAATAATATTTTAAATCACACTAGTACTGTGTACAATTAACACACTGTGCCACCAGGCCCGGATTCCCCACAAGGCCACCGAAGCCAGGCCTCGGGGCGGCAGGGCGCAGAGGAGGGGCGGCAGCGGTGTGGAATCCCCCGACGCCCGGTATATAAAGTTGCGGGCGGTAAGTTGCCTTCTACATTTAGTCCTGCTTTGGGAAGGCGGGTCCTGTGGACCTACCGTGCATTCTGGTGTGGGAGGTGTGTTGCGTTGCCATTCATTTTAATGTTACCTCAAGCGCATCTCCCACCCACAGATCGCATGCCCGCAACGGAACGCTCGGTAACCCTAATTCCGCGCAACTTGGGTCGCGACTTAATGACCAAAGAAAAAATGTGGGTCCTGAGGTTACACAGGTTGAGGACCACTGCCTTAGAGGACTGCACTGCATTGTCCAGGAGGACTATCCTGCCGGCTCTGCTGGTATTTGTAGTTCCTCCCCAGCGAAGCTCCCTGCCCTGAGCCCGGTTCACGGATCCTGCAGCTGCGGAGAACTCCCCGCTGTGGAATGCAGGAAACAGACACACATTTCCCGGGATTGAAGTAACTACTTTTAATATCACTTTTATTGAATTTTTTTTTTCCGGAGCACTAGCTAGCTAATGTGCCGCGCATATTTCCTTTTTGATGAAATATGACTGCGCATGTGACCCTCCTCCCCGGTGACGCCATAACTGAGACATTTCACTTTGGCAACCAGAAGCGGCTGAATTTCGCCTGAGCTCTTTGCTAACGTCTATTAAAAGGTAACGACGGCTGGCTGCGGGGCGAACCTGGCGTTGCGCAATCGTTGGAATGGATGATCCGCCGCTCCGCTTCCAACTTTCCAGATATTAAGTGAGAGGCCGCCGAGCGTTCGATGGGATTACGGCTACCTTCTGGGAATGTGCGGAGATTTACCGCCGGCCACATCACCGACTACACCGATAGGGCCAAGGGGTGAAGTGCGCTGGGTAGGAAATACAAAAATCTCTCCAACTCTGTCACCCAGAGAGGAAAAAAACTGAAATCTCTGTTTTTGAGATTTTGTTAAAATCTGTACACCCGCTGTGCCCATTATGAGGGGCTCCCGCCATCCCTGTGCTGAGTTCCCGGGTCTGTACACCCGCTGTGCCCATTATGAGGAGCTCCCACCTTCCCTGTGCTGAGTTCCCGGGTCTGTACACCCGCTGTGCCCATTATGAGGAGCTCCCACCTTCCCTGTGCTGAGTTCCCGGGTCTGTACACCCGCTGTGCCCATTATGAGGAGCTCCCACCTTCCCTGTGCTGAGTTCCCGGGTCTGTACACCCGCTGTGCCCATTATGAGGAGCTCCCACCTTCCCTGTGCTGAGTTCCCGGGTCTGTACACCCGCTGTGCCCATTATGAGGAGCTCCCACCTTCCCTGTGCTGAGTTCCCGGGTCTGTACACCCGCTGTGCCCATTATGAGGAGCTCCCACCTTCCCTGTGCTGAGTTCCCGGGTCTGTACACCCGCTGTGCCCATTATGAGGAGCTCCCACCTTCCCTGTGCTGAGTTCCCGGGTCTGTACACCCGCTGTGCCCATTATGAGGAGCTCCCACCTTCCCTGTGCTGAGTTCCCGGGTCTGTACACCCGCTGTGCCCATTATGAGGAGCTCCCACCTTCCCTGTGCTGAGTTCCCGGGTCTGTACACCCGCTGTGCCCATTATGAGGAGCTCCCACCTTCCCTGTGCTGAGTTCCCGGGTCTGTACACCCGCTGTGCCCATTATGAGGAGCTCCCACCTTCCCTGTGCTGAGTTCCCGGGTCTGTACACCCGCTGTGCCCATTATGAGGAGCTCCCACCTTCCCTGTGCTGAGTTCCCGGGTCTGTACACCCGCTGTGCCCATTATGAGGAGCTCCCACCTTCCCTGTGCTGAGTTCCCGGGTCTGTACACCCGCTGTGCCCATTATGAGGAGCTCCCACCTTCCCTGTGCTGAGTTCCCGGGTCTGTACACCCGCTGTGCCCATTATGAGGAGCTCCCACCTTCCCTGTGCTGAGTTCCCGGGTCTGTACACCCGCTGTGCCCATTATGAGGAGCTCCCACCTTCCCTGTGCTGAGTTCCCGGGTCTGTACACCCGCTGTGCCCATTATGAGGAGCTCCCACCTTCCCTGTGCTGAGTTCCCGGGTCTGTACACCCGCTGTGCCCATTATGAGGAGCTCCCACCTTCCCTGTGCTGAGTTCCCGGGTCTGTACACCCGCTGTGCCCATTATGAGGAGCTCCCACCTTCCCTGTGCTGAGTTCCCGGGTCTGTACACCCGCTGTGCCCATTATGAGGAGCTCCCACCTTCCCTGTGCTGAGTTCCCGGGTCTGTACACCCGCTGTGCCCATTATGAGGAGCTCCCACCTTCCCTGTGCTGAGTTCCCGGGTCTGTACACCCGCTGTGCCCATTATGAGGAGCTCCCACCTTCCCTGTGCTGAGTTCCCGGGTCTGTACACCCGCTGTGCCCATTATGAGGAGCTCCCACCTTCCCTGTGCTGAGTTCCCGGGTCTGTACACCCGCTGTGCCCATTATGAGGAGCTCCCACCTTCCCTGTGCTGAGTTCCCGGGTCTGTACACCCGCTGTGCCCATTATGAGGAGCTCCCACCTTCCCTGTGCTGAGTTCCCGGGTCTGTACACCCGCTGTGCCCATTATGAGGAGC